TCTAATTATTTGGCAATTCGAATTTGCAGCCGGCCAGGGCTGTGCAATAAATTTAACCCGCCATAAATTATTTAGGAGCAGCCCGTGGTGTAAATCAAAAACACGAGTGTTTGTTTAAGAAATAAGCTCCTTGTGCATAAAATGACTTTTTTTTCTTTAAAGAGGAGGGGGGAAAACCATCCCTGAAGAAAATGAGCTGGTGCTGAAGCTCTGTCCCTCCACAGACACTCCCTTGCCTCTTCTGCCCTTACCTTTTTTGAAGGTGTAAATGGTTCTTTTGGTGAGAAGTTTCATGCTTTTCCTTATCAGACAAAATTCGTTTCCCTCAACAGCCTCTGCTTGTTTTTATTGCATTTTGAACAGTCAGCTCTGATTTTTATGGGCATCTTTTATTCTTGTGTTTATTAAACTTCTTCACATGGGGGTTAGAGTGAGGGATAAATTATTCTTTGGTAGTTTTTGAACTGAAGAGGCCATACGGTCTTCCTCAAATATATAACTGTGTCCTGAAGCGTGCCTTGTCCACTTTGTACATAGGTGTCTGGATTAAAAGGTTTTGAGAGCTGGGAAGCTCTTGCTGGGCACTTTGTTCTTTCTCTATAATGGTAAGCAAAAAGGATAAGCAAAAAGATTCCTCTATGAGAATTAGAGTAATTTCAGGTGCTTTCTTCTTTGGCTGGAAATTGTTTAGGAAGTATAGTCTTGTGCTTGTTCATTTCTTTTATTAGCAAGAAGATCAAGACAGCTAAATTGATACATCCTTGCTCCGGTGTTAAAGGGAAGGGAGTTTCCTGTAACACAACTGGGTAAGGAAAGGCTGGGTTTATAGCAGTGCTTTCACATGCCACTAAGAATTTTTCAAATCCCTCTTAGAAGAAAGTCCCTAGCCATTCCACAGTTACCTTGCTGCTGCTCAACCCACTGGCTAGGGACAGCTAGGTTGCACAGGAGACTTCTGCATGGAACTTTTTTTTTAAACCTTTGGTTTTTCAGAAAGACAAAAGTTCTGAGGAAGCTGTCACATAGATTTTCTTGGGGTACCTTGATATAGTAAATGTAGGAATGTTGCAAAGAGAGTGGACTTGGTAATGGATCTGTATAAGCCTCTGGCTCTGTAGGTTCCTATTGTTACTGTGTTTGGGGGCACAGCTGAGGGGAGGGACAGGGTGCCGATGTTTTTTTCTTTAAGCGTGTTAATATTGATTTTAGAAGCTCTGTGTTCCAACAATATAAATGCAAATGCCTGTAATTGGGAGCCTTGTGCAGAATTTCTCAACAGAAAACATGTTCAACTTCTCTGACAATGAAAGGAAAATAAAAAGCCGCTTATTTATTGGTGGTGGTTTGAATCCTGGATTTCCTTTCAAGTTACTTTGCAGTGCTAAATAAAATACCTAATTGCAGTGCTCGCAAAATTCAAATGAGTACATTTGTTCTTCTGGTAGCTTGCGGCTATTTGCAGCCTCTGGACACCCTCAGCATTATTTTAGCACATCCATAACTCCTGGTTGTGCTATGAGGAAAAGCTGGCACTGCGGACAGAGGGAAGGCTTAGAAGCCCCAAATGCTGCTGGCACCAATCACTGCCAAAGTTGGAACATTAACTCAGTGTTGGAGTGGATGCATGTGAGGATCTCAAGGTAACACTTAGGGATGATCAGGCTCTGATGGAAGAAAGAAGTGTCAGTGAATCTCTGCCCTGAACTCCCTCCTGCTGCTTTCCTCCACCTTTCCTGCTTGGGAAAAAGTAGTGAAGGTCCTTGAATGGTGGAGATGGAGCTGAGCATGTTGAGCTCACTGGGCTGCTGTGAAACATGAGAGAGCATCCGGCTGCCTTCCTGCATCACAGTCTCTTGGGGGATTGTGTGTATGAGTGTCTAAGTGCTCACCGTTTCATAATAATTACTAATGAAATTCTAGATCTGTAATAACATTTCAGATATCTAAAACAAACCATATGCTTGTTAAAAAAAAAAAAAAAAGAGAAAAAAAGTGGAAACAGATCTACTTTAAGCCATAAATTCTTGGTAATAGAGGCCTTTTTTCTCCCCCCTTTCTGTTTATGTTTGATAGATATTTTTGTTTCTGCAGGAATGTCAACTCTTAATTTCATGATGTATCATGGGCTTAAGAAAATTGAATTTAATAAAGGCAAAAGATGAATGGCACCTTTAAAGGTCCCAACACTTGTCTTTATTAGCAGGACAAACTGCAGGGTCTCCAAACACTGCTTCTCTCCAAATGAAAGTTTAAATGAAAAGTACAGCAGTGTCACAGGTTAAATTTCATTGCAGGACTGGCTAACGTCGTTAGTGAGGAGTGGGGCTGATTTCATGGGGCTGTATCTGTTGCCTTAGATACCAGTGGAGCAAACACTGCCAGAGACTGGAAAAATCTCCGCTCTAGGAAGTGCGCAGATAAACAGCCTTTTGGGAAAGGTTCTTTACCACTTGCTTCAAAAACTGACCCAATAAGCCCAAGAGAGTAGCTGCACTTTCTCCTAAGATGCTCTGGTTGCCTCTGGGGCTCCACCCTGCTCCTGGCCATGTACTTCCCACAGACCTACAGTAATTCTGCATATTGTTAAATTTTCCACATTTTTAAAGTATGGCTTTTTATTTCCTCCATCTGTCTTAATCTGACCCTCCTGGAAGTGCTTTTTGCCTTTGGTTCTGGAAGGCGAGCGACGCCTTTGTGTATCAGATCAGCAGTAGGCTGTCTTTCAGTCTGGCTTTGCATCCAGCCAGCTGATGGCCCCTGAGGATGTTTGTGGTCCCTTAGGGCACATCCTGGCATTGCAACACAGCCCTGCTATGAAATCCAGCTGGTGTGTGTTCTTCTCTGGAAAGGGAAATGTTTGTCTTACCTTGCCATGAGCTTGCCTGATTCCATGATCACCCTCTGGGTGGGATGCGGGCCTAAGGGTCAGTGAGATGCCCCAGACCAATCTGAAAGATGGAATGGTGTTATTCTGAGGTTAAGCTTGGCTCTGTTATGGCAGCCTGTCCATTGACTTCAAACTTTGCAGCCTGTTTTCCTTCTGAACAGGAGTTTGCTGCTTTAAGAGCCTGTCTGTGGTAGGCCTTTTGAAGAGAGGATCATCTGTATCCAGCATTTCTTACTCTCTTGGATTTCCATGGGTCCTTCTGGGTGGCTGAAGCTGGTGAATTTGGGCTGCATGACAACAGGGAATCTGGCTAATACTCAAGTGGCATGTGTCATCTCCTTCTCTTAGAGCCCCTGGATCAAGTTTGCTCACTTTCCCAGTGAGGTGGTGTGGCAGTAGGGAAGGATGTGCCCAGCCATCTGCTCTGCCTCATCCAGCACAGCATGCACAGGGAGTGCCACAGTGGACCACGAGGAAATGTTTAAGCCATATGTCCTGTGCAGCTTCACTGCTCAATGTCTACACCTGGGCACTTCCACACTGTTAACACTTTATTTGATTTTTACATTTTTTTCTAAATTTCAATCTCAGCAGCATGCTGCTGTGCTCCTACTGCACTGGGGAGCTGCTCTGCTCTGTCTCTGGGCTGTGCCCACCATGGAAATTGGGTGTTTCTCCTGGCTATTTAAATTATCTGTTGTTTCCATTTACCCACCCAGCTTCTTGCCCTCCTGCTGCCTAGTAGGGTGGTGATGTCATCAGCTCATATGTGTAACCTCTTGATAATTTCCGCCTGCGGGTCATGAGGGTTGCAACCACGGTCCAAAAAAGTGTGTTAGTTCCTCTGCAGCGGCTGCATTTTTCACATGCTAATTTTACTCACAGGAGTTGGATTTTTTTTTCATTTTTTATTATTTCTTATTTGTCTCTTCCAGATGTTTTCAGGCAGTTTTTTTGTTGTTAAACTAATTCCGTTCATGTTTTAAAAATTTATGAAAGCACTAATAAAAATGTCAAAGTGGTAAAAATGTTAGCTTTTGCTCTGCTTTGATTAAATTTTGCAAACTGTTTTTGAATATTAAAAAGCAATATTTTTTTTATTCTCTTTCCCTCTCTGTGTTTTTCTCCAGAAGTGATTTGAGAGGCTTGTTGCATGGATATCACTCAGCAGGCTCATTTGCACTCCAGAACCTTGGTGCCATGGATCTCTATTAAATAACATAGACAAATTATTCTTTAAAGACACCAAACAAATTGTCACTTCTCCTCTTACATTAAACTAGAAGGAAGAAAGGGAGTGGAGAAGGAGGGGGGTGAACACAAAGGATTTTATCGCTTTATTTAGTGGGCGGCTTTTTTAATTTCATGTATATTTTTTAATAATTGAGAAATCCATCGCAACTGGATTTGTTTAAACTTTTTATTAACAGGTTCATGTAAATTTTTGATTGCTGATTATTCAAATAATTGAACATTCTTCTGATGAAGGAACGTTTTTATTTCCCTATCAGCATAAATTGGCTACAAAGAGGAAAATGAAGCAGGGCTTGCTACTGTGCTGTATCCCATAGGGATGGATTTGGGGGGAGCTTTCAGCTCCTCTTCTCAGTCTGTTGGAGGAGAGCAATCCTCCCAGCCTCTCCAGAGAAGAAGGTGCTTCATGCAGTAGTTCCTGTTGTCTGTCTGATGTTGTCCTCTAAAAGGATGGTGGGCTGAAAAGGTTGAGACTGGTCTTGGAGAGGGCACATCCCCTGTGATGTCCTTGCTAAACAGCTGTGAGCCCATTGCAAGTACAGCTTCATATTCCCTGGGTAGCACATGAGAGTGGTGTGAGACCACCTTCTTTAGGTTCAGCTTCGGCAGCTGCAGTGCTGAGCACAGAGACCTCCTTGCAGCCTGTCCTGGCTGTGATCAGCATCAGCACCATCCTCATCTGTTCTGGTGGTGTTGGATGTGCTCTGTGCTGTGGCACCACCTTCCCACTTCTGCAGAGCTTTGTGTTGAGTTTATTTTTGTTTGGAACTATCATGCTACCTTGCTAGATGGGATAATTTCCAGCTTCATTTCTTGTTTGTTTTAAATGAACAGCTGCTTTTCTTTTTGTCCTATTCAGGAAATCATCGAATTCCCTATCCTGAAGCTGAATGGCAGGACGATGGAGATCGAATCCACCTTTCACATGTATGTTCAGCCTGTGGTGCATCCCCAGCTTACGCCCTTCTGTACAGAGGTAAAGTGCAAAGGTTCCCTGGTGCTCCAAGAGTCTCTCTGGGAAGCAGGTTTCCATTGCACCAGGGACTCAGGTTGCCTCTTCACGGTGCAGCTGCAAGGCAGCATGTCATGCCAGCCTTGAGTTAATGACAAAGAGAATAATTCTTTGTTATTGCAGTAGTGAGTAAAGACTTCAGTTTGGATTAATAAATAACTCTAGCTGTGACCTGCTAACTAAGATAATTGTATTTACAGCTAACAAATGTCTCCATTGGGTGACCACCAAATGAACACACTCATGTTAGCTGATGTTCAAAATCCTGTAACCTCTTTATGAGTTCTCACAATTTTGCTGTTCTCCTCTGTGGTGGGAAAGGTCGAAGAGAGTGTGGACTGAGGAAAGACAGTGCTGTGCAGATGTGTGGTTCAGAGGCACTAAATTACTCTCCTGTGGGCCTTCATGTTAGGATTTGGGGAGTCCTTCAGAGTGGTAGGATAATTTGTGTTTGTCTTTTTAAGACTTTCTTTTTGATGTTGTAATTCTGGGCCACTTGAAATGATTGCTGGAGTAGAGATGGTTGCCCTTTACTTGCTTACTCTCATTGCTGAGGACAGCTGCTCTTGAGCTGTGGCCACCTTTCCCCAGATACAGAATGAAAGTGGTAAAGCTATCCCTGAGTGTTCAGAGGAGTTAAGGAGCAGGGGTTTGGTTTTGTTGTTGATTTGGGTTTTTTTTTGTTTGTTTTTTGTTTGTTTGTTTGTTTGTTTGTTTTGTTTATTTTTGTTTTGTTTTTTTTGGTTTTTTTTGTTTGTTTGTTTGTTTGTTTGTTTGTTTTTTTAATTCAACCCAAAAAGTTAACTGTTTTTCCAAGTGTTTTCCCTCCTTGCCATAATCATCCAAATTTTTACCAGCTCAATTTTTGCCAGCTCAATGACTAAAATACTGGCTGTGGGAATCAGTGTACTCAAGTTCTTCATTCTGTCCCTGTCTTGTCATCAACACCATGGTGTGTTTTCCCCTATCTCTGTGGCTACAGACTTAAGCCCATGGAGGGCTTGTCCCACCTGTACTAGCCTGATGAAAAATGACTCCTCTGTGTTAGGTGGAGTCCCCTCCAGAACCAACCAGCCCCTTCCATATTTTCACATTGTAAAAACAAATACTTATTTTTATTCTCCTGTAACTCAAAACCATCTGAAGGCATTTTATTTAAACTTAAAAAAAAAAAAAAGACTAAGCACAGAAAACATTATTCCCCAGAGAAGAGCTTTCAGAAAGTTATAAACGTGTGAGAACAGAGGGTTATAATGGAAATGGTTTTGCAACCTTAATGCTAGAAGGCTGGGCAACTACTTTGGCTGTCCTTATCCCCATGAGACTTGCTGGACATATGCTTGTACAAATGTGATAAATATCACAGCTTGCACCTGATCTTTGCTAAAGACAGCATCATCTTCTAGAGCTGAGCCCAAAATGTCGGCCTTGCAAGTCACCTAAATTCTGGAGAGAAGTCTCATTAACTCACACCAAATCTCCTTTTTCTGGAAATCTCTCTATTGCATCCTTTCCCCTGTTTCTAAAGACTGCGGCTCTGTTCTTGCACAAGAGCCTGCATGACTTGCTTGGTGCATGCTTGTGGTTCAGCTTCGTGAGCTGAACAGAGCCTCCAGTCTGCTGCAATCTAGGGACATTCAGAGGTTCTCTAGATGATGACCCTGTGACCAGCATTCAGCCCATCTAATGCTCCTGTACTGCAGTGATGGTTTCTTCATGTTCTCTTGCTCCAGGGGGTCTGGAACAGATGTTTGTGCTTCCTGTGTGGAGCTTTGAAGCAAGTGAAGCTGAGTGTGTCTCTGTGTTTGTGATGGCTGTGCTTTTGCAGGATGGGCACATGTGCCCCAGATCAGCATTCTGCTGCAGACTCTGCTGTGGACCTGGGTCTGGCATCATGTCCAGAGTTGGGTGAAAATGGGCAGTACTGAGTCCAGCAGGCAAAATGATTGCAGAATACACCCCACCACCCCCCCCCCCCAGGGGATTGCAGTCCCCTGACCTGTTGCAGAGGGCTGCTGAAGGTCCAAGAGTGGGATCATGGTTGGAGACTTGACTTGTTCCTGGGGCCTGAGTATGGGGCTGAGTTTGAAACCCTACCCTGAGAGCCACTGGTGAACGTTACGAAACAGTAGGGTGCTGCTAGGTAGGTGCAGAGATCATCCCTGTGCCACTGGTTTGCTTGAGACCCCAGGGACACAGCCAGGATGTGCTCTTGCAGAGCTGCTGCCTGAACTGCTCCAGCACTTGTTATCGACTTTCTGCTGGTTTATGTTTTCTGAAAAATACTAATTTTGCTAAATGCCAGTAAAGGGCTTTGTCTAGGTACCTCTGCTTACAAAGGTTGAGATTTATTGGCTTCTTTGTCTACAAAGAAAGACCAGGCCTGATTCTCAGATGGTACATCAGAGACAAGTGCTTAGGTAATCAGAAAACTGTCTTGGAGTAGAAATAGGATGATTTTCCAGATAAACTCTCCAGGAAAAGCACTGGTGTTGACATTACATGGGAGCCTATCTACTGTGCTGCCGATTCCCCCTCTCTCCTCTGCCTTTGCTAAGCAGTAGAACTGCTTGGTTTAGACTCTGTGTAGAAGGGTTACTGGGGTTGCTTGACATTACTCCTTGGGTTTGGATTACCTCTTCCATGCCTCTTCCTTGGAGACAAGCATGGGAGGGTTGCCTGGAAGGGTGGAGAGCTTGTTGCCTCCCTCAAGACATCGCTTTGCTGACCTTTTGGTATGTCTGTGCTCTTCCCTGGCTATAGGATGTTTCTCCAACTCCCCACATCAATGGCCAGGAGCTGTGTTCCAGTGCTGGCTTACTCTGAGACCTCATCTCGTCCCCTTTCTCCTGACCTGCCTCTGTAAAACAACAGGTCATGAACCTTGGTTATTGTGAGGGGTGAGCTGAATGCTTAGGCAGAGAACTAGTTAAAAACTGTTATTAGGTGTATAAAGCGCATCATGCCTTTTTGAAAGATGCAGATTATTTTTCTGGTGCCCAAGAAAGTTCTTGCCAGGAGCTTAAGGAGAAGTTTCCTCTACATGCAAGGTGCTTGTACAGATCTTTTCACAATACTTTGCTCTCCTTTTATGACTAATTTTTATTGCTTTTTTTCCTGAAGGAATAGACAATAAAAATACAAAAAGATAAAGGCACTATAGCTTGCTTATGTTCCCAAGTATCTCATGCTTCTTGGGATAACCAGAAATTTTACAATTGTGCAGTTTTATGTTTTTATACTTTTTCAAAGCTGCAAGACCAGATAATGCTGCAGAGATCCAATGCTAGGTTGGATGTGGCACATATGGACATAACTGATAACAAAAAGTATCAGAAAGGGTGAGAGAGTAGAAATCTGGTCCAGTTTAAGCACTCTGACCTGTATTGAAATGTACCTATGGAGCAAATACATTCCTTTGTATTCATGTGTGTGATATCTGCAGCGTGAATCTTGTGTGTGTGTGTGTGCTTGGTGATGTGTCCTTGTACAGACAGGCTGGTACATTGCTTGGCCTGGCAGGGAAGGACAGAAGGAGTTTTGGGCAAGAATAAGCAGTGACTCTTGGTAGCACCTCTGCATCCGCCTTCATATCCCTCCCTCCTCCTGATGTGAAATGTCTGGATGAGGCCATTACAGCCTCTCCTCCCATGGCATCAAGGGTGTAGTGCTCCACAGTTACAATCCTGAGGGTGCCTGGAACAGCAGAAACCATTTGCATCAGTACTGGCTGAGATAGTGAAAGGTCGCCTGTCATACTTAGCACAGAAAAAACTTGGACCTCTTGGAGCAGGTTCAGAGGAGGGCAGTGAACATGAGCAGAGGGATGAAACACCTCTCCTGTGAGGTAAGGCTGAGAGCTTTGGAGTTGTTCAGCTTGGAGAAGACTCCCAAGAGACCTTATTGTGACCTTTTAGTACTTAAGAGAGCCTATAAGAGAGACTTTTCAGTTGGCCCCATTGTGACAGGACAAGGAATAATGACTTTAAACTATCCAACTAAGTGTACAAAAAAAGATTTTTACATTGAGGGTGGTGAAACAGTGGCACAGGTTGCCAGAGAGGTAACATTCAAGGTCAGGTTGGATGGGGCTGTGAGCAACCTGATCTAGTTGAAGATGTCACTGCTCACTTGTGAGGGAGGTTGGACTGGATGGACTTTAAAAGTCCCTTCCAAAACAAACTATTATATGATTTTGTGTTCCTTTCCGAACACACCTTTCAGTCACATCCAAAGATTTGGGTTGAGCTGCTGCCCAAAAGGCAGAACCAACACTTTGCAAATAGGTGATCTGTCCACCTGTGCCAGAAGAATACATGGAGAGAAAGATGTCAAGAAAAGCAAAAACCATGCCAACGAGCTTTAAAAACTGCTCTGAAGAGCCATGCGTTAGTTCCTCAAATCTATTTGCTTCTCAGAGTATGGAAATCTGTAGGTAGCAGCTGTTAACCCAATTAAAATAGAGATTAATATAAAAACAGATTCTGAAATACAAGAGAGTATCTGTGTCCCTCCACTTTCCTAAAATTCCACTTCATAATGGCTTGATGAACTTGAAAAACACACCTAGAGGAGCTCTACATTATTAAAATTAAAATATTTTCCCTAAAAGGTATGTATTGCCATTTCTTGGGAGTCACTATGAGAAAATAATCTTTCCACTTACAGTTTATTCAATGAGTCAGGTATTTGGTATTCATTAAATGTAATTATAGTTTAATTGGAGTTTAATATAATTTCTTTTTCTATCCTCCAAGTTCAGTGCTGTAAGCCAAGCAGCCAAAGAAACTGAGAGATAGAAACCATTTAGCTTTGTTCAGTTGCCACATACTTAATAAAGCAGAGCCCTCTGGTCTGTGAGAGGACTTATGCTGTACGAGTGGGTTGAGCTGGTCTGTGTGGAAGAGTTACTCCTGGGTGATGGTGGGGCCATCAGTATCTCTCAACTGGATGCTATGGCTTCCAGAGGCGTGGATGCTTCTAGGTTGTGCTTGACCTTTATTTCATGAAAATGTGTGAGATGTGTAGCTTCAGGAAAGTGCCATATGAAGTGAAATCCCATAGTGTGCACTTGTTTTAATAATGATTTTTTTAATTACTTGGGTGCATTGATGGCAAGCTACTGAACTCCAATATTCAATATGTTAAAAGACAGTTTTGTCAGTTGGAAGGCAGGCAGAAAAATTATCTGTTTTCCATGTGCCTCAAGCTCTCTTGGGCAGACACAAGGAGAGGCCCATGAGACTGGATCTTTTAATGCATGTGTTTAGCTTTGAGCAGCTGAGCAGTCTAGGAGCAGTCAGTAGGAGTATCTGTTGGCAGGATCTCTTCTAAGGAGCCTACTAAGGAAAACAGACTAGACAGGCCTCTGGAAGAAAGTGCTTTTCTTCAGATTTCATTCCATTATTTTAAATACAATTTTGAACTGCCGAGGAGTGCAGTGATGGACTATGGGAACATGCACATGCTGTCTGCCTAGCTCAGGGGAGGATGACTGGGTCCACTTCAGATCTCTCTTACCAATACTTCTCTGTTTGGTTCATCTAACACTGAAATTTTGGTGTCACTGTGATAGCAGAGAAATGTTCAGAGACCTTGGTAGTTACCACTGCCTGTGTACATCAAGGCAACACCAAAACTGCTGAAAGGTATATTGAAAAAGGCATCATGCTAGTGCATTACACTGCTCCCCAAGTGGACCCTTCCCTGCTGAGAACTTGCAGTTTTGTGGTGTGGGTAGGAGCCCCACTACATTTCTGTGTTTGGGATGAAGCTGTGCCCTTGCCTGTGGCTGGGGAGCTACCAGGGTCACTTTGCTGTGGCTGGCTCCTCATCAACACCCATATGGGTCACAGGGCCATGTTATGGTTGCAGGAAGATGGACAGGAGAGTAGACCTCTCTAATGATCTTTTGAGTACTGCTCTGGTGACTGCTTTCCGTTTGTCTCTGTTTCAGCTGACTGGGATTATTCAAGGCATGGTGGATGGGCAGCCGAGCCTCCAGCAAGTGCTTGAGGTAAGCAGAGTAACCTTTAGTTCTCAGACTCTGACCTCTGGTCTTGTAGTCCCCTCTTCATCTCTTTCCCTGCACCCTCCCCTTGCTGAGAATCGAACCGCGTAATTTGACTATGATTACAGCTTCATTAGAATAACATTTGCTGTCACACTGGTGACACACTGCTGAGATTATTGAACCATTGATCTGTCATCTCCAGCTGTTCATGTCAAGGGTGCTGACAAGATATCCAAATTCCTGCCAGTGGATAGGAGAAGAGGCGATTCTTTCTTGAGCCAGTTTTAAAACACCAAGACATTGCTCAAGACCACTGCTCTGGGAGATTCTGCTTTCATTTCTTTTTCCATCCCTCAGCACTTTATTAAATTATTTTTTCTACCTGTTTAAATGCTCAATAATACGTGTAGTATAGAAAAAAAATGCCTCTGAAATCTAATCTAAAGGATGTGTGAATGCAGATACAGCCCTAATAATACCTTCTTCTTAATGTGGAATTCCTAGAGCATTTAAGGTTTAATTAGCTTGGAAGTATTTCTCCATCAATAGCTTTTGTTGGTAGTCAGGTAGTGAAGGAAACCTCTTCAAGCAGAGCCCACTTGGGCTGCAGGTTGGTGTTTGATGCGTCGTCAGGATTTCCACTGCTGTGTTACCTAATTGTTCCTAATCAGAAAAATTGCAACAATTATTTATCTGAGGAAAGCAAATTAAAGGTGTTAAAATCCTCCATGGAGACAGCACTTGATGGGCACTCACATCAGGGAGTTTAGAAAGGTTACCACTGCTGTTCCCAACTCCAGGCAGGCTCATGTGGGACTGGCTGGGAGATCCTGTCAGCCAAAGGGAGTGTGGCTGAGAGGCTGGATGCTGCTTTTCTGGGGAGTTTTACTCAGAGGGAAGTTGTACAGTCAGTCACAGGAAGAAGCATCGACCCCTGGCAGGAAAGGCGGTGTCAGTGACATGAGACTGAAGATGTGCTCTGCAGACGTGATGTCTCACATCCATGCAAACCCCCAGCTATCCAGAGAGGATACAGCATCTTGCTTGTCCATAAACATATGGATGCATGTACCTGTTCCCTGCAGGAGGGAGAGCCCTCTTTTCCTGGGTGAATGTAGATCACTACTGGAGTATTCCAGAAAATGACTCATTCTGTTTCTGTGGAAGCTTCTTAGAGTGTGGAAACACTTATGTAGAATTTTTTTTATTTGGACAGAAAAGGTGTTCATACAGCAGCATGTTTCTAGGTTAAAATGAGATTCAGGACAGACAGCTTCTGAGGCATGCTGGTTTACTCAGGAGTGAAAGGTGTCAAGCAAGGGAAAAGAGGAGGGATTTCTGGGAAAATGCTGCTAGTGAGGTTGCTTAATAACAGTTGATTGCCTGCCACTGCAAGATTTTGAGCATGTTGTTTGCTAGTTTTAGCTGGAAGAAGTGTCTATGCAGGGCTTCTAGTCTAGGTTAGTTCCTTAATCCCTGAGGTGGATTGCATCCTCCAGGTTAACATGGCCCAGGACCCCGAACATCTGTGGGAAGTTGATCAGGAATAGTGGATCCACTTTAAATCCACACTACTCTGAACAAGCACTTCTTCAGAACTGTAAGAAGGAAGGAAGGATCCAGCCTGGAGAGGAAAGGGACACCTGGCTGTGCTTGTTATTGCCACACAGTGCCTGTGTGTGCCCAGCCCTTCCATTTTTTTCCCCTTCCCATATCCCCCTGGTGCTATATGAATTCATGTGTGTGAGAAATGCTGTAGGGGAAGGATGCCATTTCAATATACCTGTCTTTTCTTCTTGCTGGAGGGGACAAAAGTTATGTTTCCTATGAGCCTCTTTAGTACAGGGAGAGGAGAAATGCCAGGTAGCAGCACAGTTGTATAGTCCTGTTAACGCTGCACAACTTTCATCCCTCCACAAGTAGAGCTGCTGCGATGTCTGATAAGATCATCTCTCCTCTGGTTGCCTGATGTCTCCTATCAGAAATCTTCAAAGGTCCAAACGTGCTGTTGTTGAGATGGCAAGCAAAGAGAGAAGAGAGGGAGGGAGAGATTGGATAAGATCACAATTTTCTTCTCTCTTGATTGCAAGCAGCTTATCTGAGTTTAACTCTTGTGGCTCGGCCTGTCTCTGCAAAACTCATCCCCTTTTCTTGCCTTCCTTTCAGAGGGTTGACGAGTGGATGGCAAAGGAAGGCCTCTTAGATCCCAGCGTCAAGTCGATTTTTGTGACCTGTGGAGACTGGGATTTGAAAGTGATGTGAGTATGGGAGGGGAGGGAGATTTTCTTGGGCTTTATTGCTCCATGCTTGCCTGTAGTGCATATGTCTTTGTTCTTGCAAGCCTCCAACTGTCCCTAGTCATTGTTTCTTAGGGAAATTGTTGTTTGCCATGCATAACTGGGAGAGGAGAGTTGTTTCAGAAGACAGTTGGGTGCTGGGCACGGTGCAAGATCCCTGCCTAGGATATTCCCTATAGTGAGTGAAGCCTTGCAGAACCCCAAGAAAAGTATAAACTGGAGCTTTGTGATGTTTTGCCTTTTACCCAATATACTTTCCAAAGGGATGGATATTTCTGAGTGCATATGTGGATGATCAAATGATGATCCTTACCTGACACTCTACATTTAAGGGTTTTTCTGTCATCTTGGCACAGTAATTCAATGTGAATCACAGAGTAGTCTTTGGAGTAGAATACAAGCAGAATACAATCCAGGTCTGGCATGCTCCAGTGGTGTTCTTATTGTTATCTTCATCAGCTGGGTGAATATCTGGCAAGTACCAGGTCGGGGCCTGCTCTGGGATCTGCAAATGTTAGTATGTATGTACATGTTTTGTTAGAAAAATAGCTAAGCCACAACCTAGAAATGTTATTGTAAGAATGGAGCTAAATGTCCAAAAATTAAATTAGTTCAATCTCCAAAGTGTTTGCAAGATCAGTGCCCTATAGAGCTGAATTCTCTTCATATAATCTTGCTTCAGCTTTTCATTTTCCTGTGGTGCTGGATAAAGACTCCTGTTGTTATCACACCAGTAAAGCATGGGCTTGACACATCCCATCCTAAACTGACAGCCACAACTCGTTAGTAGTGTTACTTGGTTTTCACTGTGACATTGGTTTCCCCAAGCTGGAAGCCTAAATAAACTACACATAGTCTAGGAGCAATCAGCACCAGTTCTTCGCTGACAAGGAGTCTTTCCAGAGTGGCAGCTCCTTGCCTTTTCTTTGTGTAATTAGTGAAACATGAAATATGGGGTCCAAAGCTCAGCACAAGCACTAGTGGTGATGAGAAATTGGCTCCAGACAGAGACAGAGGGGTGGTATTTGAATGTTTGAGTCAGAGTCTTGGTCTTTCCTCAGGCTGTGTCCAGAGCTCGTATATATTGCAAGTTCCTGTGTTAGTTGCTTAAATTAGGAGTGAGTTATTTTTCATTATATATATAATTTTTAAGCTTCTGTTAGAGACCATCACAGTTGCTGTGCTAAACTTCTGTTTCTCATGTATTCTATTTTCTCTGTTCTTTATTCCTGTATTGCTGTGTGAGGGTCCAATTTACCACTTTGTCTATGGTTGTGAGAAACAGTTATCTTTGCTCCAAGCCTATCTTTCCTAGCTTTCACAGCTGTCTGACAAGATTCCTAGGTAATGACATCCTCACTTGGCGTTCATATGGAAAAAGCAACCTGGATGTTTTGTGTGGCTTTTTTTTTTTTTTCCTTCAGAGCTCTACAGCAGGCAAATGAAGGTAAAGATGATCTCCATTTGTGGTGAGCCATAGGGGTTGTGAGGGGAGCTGGCTCAGAGGGACATGCTGTTCTGGAGTGGAGATACACTGTTCACCATTTGCAGTGGTCTCTCGCATGGATTGTCCCTCACTAGTCAGCTGGAAAAGAAGACTCCACTCCTGGCCATGAGGTTGTCGAGAGTGGTTCATTTATCCCTCTTCCTTTTAAATTTTTTTTTTAAACCATTAACTTCAGAATTCAATCCTGAAGCATCTTCAGGGCAAAGCAGAAAATACGTTCTGTGTTTCCAAGCACATGGACAGCAGGAGTCTGGCTGCAGCCTCCTGGTGAGTAGCGCATCACGCTGCTCCATTGCCGATTGGGTGCTGCAGTGTGTAGCGTCACATCTGATTAGCACCATGCCAGTGGATGAGGCTCGAGTGAGGACTCCCTGCCAGCTCTGACTTGTCTCATTTCCCATTACTTTTATCCGTCACCACAAATGCCGAGTCTCCCTCCTGAACTAATTAAGTTTGCGTGTGTTTAGACACATTGCCAAATAGGGTTTAGCAAAGCAGAACTGAGCATCTCTTTTTAAAGAGAGAAAGCAGAGCTGAAACAAGGCTGCTCAGACAGGGAGACAGAGCCTCAGAGATGTGGAACATCCATGAGGTATTCCAGGGAATCACTCCATGGTTCCCTACAAGACCTGTGGTGTAGCTGATGCCCTTTGCTACCACTTTGAGACCACACTATGGTCACAAAAGGGACTAGGAAGGGAGGTGGTGCTGTTTGTCCACATTTGGAAGAGTGTTGTTGGAACATTGCATGGTAAAAACCTGGCTGGGTTCCAGAGGAATTGAGGACACTGAGGTGAGTGCAATGCTTCCTGGCTTAAGGAGCCACCCCTTGTGACAAGTTTACTTGTAACTCTGCTCTTTCTTTTCTCAGCTTCCTTAGTAATGACAGCTGCTTGCATAGCTGCTGTCCTCTTGCCCAGATCTTGAGTAGTTTGGAGTTCTTGTCCTCTGTTGTCCTTAGCTTGGCTCGTAAACCATGCAGCTTTGTTCCTGACTTCTCCAGCAGTGACGTGGGCATTTAGTTTGGCTTCTGTCTGCATGTGCTGTTCTAAAGCTGAGACATGGTGTCTTTTGAACTGGCGTGTCTACTGTGAGGGCTTCTAGTAGGTACCACTGATAGGTGCCAGGGAGGCACAGTGGGATGAGCAAGCTGGATGTGGGGAAGTGGCTGTAGCAAGGAGGAGGAATCTTCAAGCCTGTCAGTGTTGGATATAGGGATAAGGTGGGGAAATAGCTCTGCCTAAGCCAGACATTGCAATGTGTGTAGCACTCCTAGCTCAAACAAAAACACCAGAGAAATAGTGATTGTCAGGGTACTGCTCTCTGCTGATGGTGTCTGGCGCTGCTGAGTCTGCAGGATTTAGGATATAAACTCAGCTGCTAAAGGATCAGTAAAGCTTCTGCTTGGCTCAGGGATCTTCAAGAAATGAGGCACTGTGTGGCTACAGACTTGATTGCTCTTGAACACTGAAGCTTTCTTGGAAGACCACAGAGCTGTTTTTCAGTCTTCCCTTAGACAACAGGGAGCACTAGTCACAAGGAGCTGGGTGCCCAGAACCCGAAGTTCTGCTACCAAAGGGTTTGTCATGGGTGTGGTGCACCATCAGAAGATGCACCTGTTGGAAGGATTTGGTTGCTGCTGGAGAGAGTCCATTGTGTGAGAGGGCTCCTAAATGGAGCGCTGATCCTCTACTGGCTGTGCTTGGATCAACCTGCTTTCAGTTCTTGGTGTGTGTGAATCAGGCTGGAATTGGGGAGACAGCAGCTCTCTTGCCAGCCCTCCCCTTCCCTCTTGTTAAGATGCAATTTCTTTAATGAGGAAAACCTCTTGAGTAGGAACATCACCTTTCTTGAAGGCTTGTCCTGACAAGGCAGTTCAAGCCGACAGAGTCGTGTATCAGCTTCAGCAAATATCAGTCACTCATTACAGAGACTCTTCTCCCCCCCACCCCCCAGCAACACCCCTCATTCCCAGACAAGGGAATGAATCACACTTCTGCTCTTGAATACATCATGACAAGTCATAGTTCTAATGAGAGAGGGCCATTCATTCTGGGTGGAAAGTTCCCTGTGTCGACTCAGAAATGTTATTAATTAAAGAGAGCTACCTGAAGCAAAAGATGAAAGGAGCACCAGACCTGCCAAGCTAAAATATGAGTGGGGATATAGCCTCGTTAGACACACGGTCCTCAGGCCTCTGCATGCTCAGTGGGAGGATTCCTTTAGCCTGTTGCAAGGAGCTATAGTCCAAGTTTAACAGCTCCAGGGATGGAATCAGATACCTGATGTCGTCTGCTTTAGTGCTTGGACCTCATTCTGCACCTAGGTTGGAACTGACACTAGTCATTAAGCAAATAGCATTGATGTGGCATTGGGTGGTGAGGGTAACGTGCCTCTGAAGGGGCTGAGGGAGCTGCTGACTGCAGGAGACGGGTTTAGTGGAAAAGAGGGTACTTAGTATCTGCCAGAGTTGAGCCCTTGTAATATAAGCTCTTTAGTGTAGTTTATCTCTGCTGAAATGTCAAATTGCTTTCCTCTGTGTGTGGAACCAGTTTGTGGGCTCTTAAACACAATGTGAATTAATCTTGGCGACAAAAGAGGCATTTTTATCATGTGTTCATAGATACAGATTTGAAATATGGTGAGGTTAAGTGAGATGCCTGTGGCTGTGCAGGCAGGCAGAAGCAGAGCTGAAGTCTTATGTCCCAAATCTCAGACCTGCACCATAATGTCAGAAACATCAGTTAATCCTTCTCCTTCCAAATTTGAATTATTCTGTAAATGCACTGAGCATAGCCAGAAGTACATGTAGGCTTTGGTCTATATAACTCTGACATGAAGGTGCTTTAACTGCACTTATTGTGGCTGACCAGAGCATGCTAATTTATGTCTTCACAGGAAACTACTACTCAGAAGTTTTTTATTTTCTTAAATAAGTGTTAAAAGGCAAGTACTCTCTAATATAGTGATAAAACATAGTGAAGTGTTTTGAAATGTTTATAGCCCTTGGTGCTCTTCCTAGGTTGGATATTAGTAAATTCTGAGCAGTAAATTATACCATTGCTTAATTTTGTCTTACTGTTTTAATTCTTTCTTGCAAGTTACACAGAGGATGCTTGTCTTCTCTAATCAGCTCCAAGTGTGTCAATGGGTTGCTCTTTCTAGGCTTCTGTCCTGGATGTTTTTGAGATTAGAATTAGGTCGTGAATGGAAAAGAATTATTGGTTAATGTCCTCTGTATATGCTGTTCTTTATTGCAGGACCAGGAGGGGGCTGGTAACCTCTGCCTCAGAGAGAAATTGCAGATGGCCACTGACTGGAGTGAGTGGGAATGCTTGGGTAGTCATGAGGAAAGGCAGGAGAAGGTGTGGGGTGGGCTGGCTGTGTGGCAGCAGGGCAAGAGGTATGTTCAGAGTTGAGAGTAATAAGAAAGATTTGGTAACTGAAAGATAAT